GCAGCAAAGATTTGCATAATGTCATCTCGTCTGCCATAGCACTCGGGTTAGATAAGTGAGAGTTAGCGTTATTTGAGATTTGAGCAGAATATATTAGCGCTAGAACAGCAAAAAGTGTTGGCGACACAGAATTGAACTGATTTCTTAATTAAGCTAAGACAATTACTGTAGCATGCCTGAGTGTTGGATATATTTGTTTTGATTTTTTCGTTTAAACATATATAAAGACTATCTTTTTTTTTTTTACAAAAGTTGGCGCTTGAATGGTGATGGCACGATTAATCATATAATCTTTGGCTTTATCACAATTTGTGATGCGATCAACTGAGCTTTTAATTGACTGAAAAGTTTATAACAAAAACATACAAAATAAATACTTGAACTTTTTGTTGTAAAGTCATAAAAAAGACTATAAATGGTTGGAACAAAATGAAATTGAAACACAAACAGATAAGAGATAAAAGATCTGCCATAAGCAAACTACCAACAGTTGGAATAACATGGAAATTTGTAGCATTCATAGAGAAATAATGAATTAAAATTGAGCATTATTCATACAAATGCCAAGCAATCGAGCTAATGGATCCATCATCGGCAAACTACGAACAGTTTAAATAAGTAGAACTTTTTACAATTCCCACTTCTCATTTGCGTAGGACTCAATGTCTATTTCTTGCTGATTGCCCCCTAGACTTGAAGACAGACCAGACAGTTGGGCAAATGGGACAGGCAATGCGAATGTGAATGCGAATGCGAATGCGTTTTATTAATGCCATCATATCATTAGATCAGCAAACATGCCCATATACGAAGTACTTGAACACGGTCTTAACTGCCCCCTGCGCCAATGCTCAGCAATAATAATGCTTTGGCATTTATCACACTTTTTTGTTGTTGTATTTTATTTATTTTTTTGTTGCCTCTTTGTGGCAAAGTGACCAAGCAAAGTGGCTCTAAAATTTCAGTGGCAAACAACAAGAGAAGAAAGGAAGAAAAATAAAAAAAAAAAGAGAAAAAAGAAAGCGAAAGCGCAGATAAATAAATGTGGCAGCAACAACAACAACAGCAACACGAACAACAGTAGCAACAATAAAGAGCAAAGCGCCATAAATCTAAATAACAAATTTTTACGAGAAACGAGACCATAAATAAGATGTTACTGCGAGAGACGGGCCTAGCCAGAAAATAATAGTGGAAACGGCCCGCATTCCCAGTTACCATTCCAGCCGTACCGCTCTCTCTCACTCTCTCTCTCTCTCTCTGTCTCAGTGGCTTCAATTCCTGAGAGTTCTGTTAATTTAATATTATTACTTTTCATTACAACTGGCCCTTCTATCTCTCTGAGTGTGTCGTCTCCTCTGATGGGCTACAGCAAAAAGCTGTTAGTTTTCTTCCATTTTTTTGTCGCTATTGTTGTTGTTTTTGCTGTTGCTGTTCCATTTCCATTCGGGAGAGGTCCCAAATGTCAACACATTAATGTCGCAGGACCTGGCCGCCGAGGCCAGGGTCATATAAATCAACATTTATCTGCAGCATCTGCAGCCATCGCCGACAATTGAAAATGACAGGCGTAGCCGAACGCAGCGACCGCATAAATAAATTCTTTCATCTCTTATTTCTCACTAATTACGTAACGCCCCATCAAAATTATACATACATATACATATATCTCTCTTTTAATATTCTCATAATTACCATAAAAGTTGGCTACATAATATAGCACTTTGTTGATGTTTGTTCCGCGCGTAAAAGGCCATCTTCAAGTTGTAAGTGCAAAATTAAACGAGTTGTCAAATCAAGCTAAGAAAGGTAGAGCTAACGATATTTACTTTGAGCCCTGGCAAAGTTTTGACAGCTCGAGCAGGCAAAGGAATCTTAAGGCTATGCAGTGAAATATGTATGTGAGTGCTACAATTTTGACTGACATTTTTGTCATAGAATTATCATTAAATAAAGATAATATAAAACATATTATAGGCAATATCCATCATTTGAAAAGGAAATAATTTTAAGCGACATATCAGTCAATTTGAATTGAAGAGGATTAATCAAATCCGATAAGTGGTAAAAAAATGAGTTGACAAAAAAGAGAGCCGTAATATTTTTTCGATATTTCATTATTCATCATTAATTACGAAAATAAAAATTAAATTTAGACTATTAATGAAAATGAAAGTTCACATTCTTTTTGACTGCTAGCTAATATAAATAGCTCTCCGTCAGCGAATCGTCGAATCGTGTAAATACAAGAAACTCTGAGTTATTCGTCGAACTACATTGAAATAAATTTAGATAAATAAATAGTAAAAAAAAGAACTGAGATTATCTTTATTCATTCTTTGCAAAAATAATCAAAATTTATGTTCAACTAAAATGTTGCAAAGCCAACAATTCAATTCATTTCCGCTCTAGCAAAGAGAGAAAGTCCAAATATCAAATGTTTCTAGATTTGGATTTTGTGCAAGCTAAGCGCTAGAGCATTTACATACATACTGATATACATACAAAAATATATATATATATATATTTCCTCTATACGTATTTCTGTTTTCATTCGGAATGAGAGCTGTTGTTCTTTGGCCTCACCTTTCGCACGGCTGCTTCATTGCATGTGGCTAATAAACAAGCGGCAGGACATTGCAGAAAAACGAATACGAAATGGCTGCAGAAGTTGCAGCAGCAGCAGCAGCGGTGCCAACAAAGGCAAATGTTGCACATCCTGTTGGCTAGAGGATTTTTTGTTGTACAGTTTTGTCGCACCTCCTTTTTTTCATATGTGTGTCTGTCTGGGTGTGTGTGTTGTGCTCGTATGAACCATTAAATTGAAATTTATGCGGCACTTTGCCGCGTGAAATGTTTGTACAACTCGTTGCGGGCTGCGGCTTTTCAGCAGGACATGCCCCGCTCCTATCCGCCTCCGCACCCTGCTCCCACCTCCCCGCCCACCCCTCTGGTGCTGTTTGTCTCCCTCGTATCTATATTGCAGCGGCCCTCGGCGTTGACAGAGCGACAAACCGTTAGACAACAACATTTGTCGACTGCAAACCGGGAGCCAGGGCTAGGGGCAGGGACAGGCGCTGGGGCAGGGAGCAGGGAGCGGAACCTTGTTTAAAAACATATGCAAAACTGTTTGCTGTTTGCCGTGTGTATTGCATGTAAATGGTTCTTCGAGAGCAGTTTCCCATCCCCCGCCACTCTTCTCGGGCTCAAAAGCCAGGCCACGCCTCCTTTTTGGGGTACACACGCGGAAACGCTTGCCGGCTAATTTGTCGTTTGTTTGAAATTATGACACAAAAGCGGCTCAGCGGCTGCCACTTGTCTGGCTTTAGCCAATTCCTCGCTGCCTACCTCCCCCTCCACCACACACACACTGCGCTAGTGCACAGTGGGCCACGCAGCACAGATATCAGCCACATATTTTTGGTACATTTTTTCGCTTGGTTTTTTTTTCTGCAACAAGTTTTAATTAATTTGCCGCAGCTCCAGCCCAATCTCGACAGCAACCCGCCCTCTTTCACCCACTCGTTATTGCTCTCCATGTTCCTCTCCCTCTCTCTTTCTAGCACTCTGTGATGAGCGGGACGCACAAAAAGTTGATGCTACGATAATTTGAAAAGTTTTCGCTTAGACAGCGACAGCGAAGTAGGTAGAAAATATCCCCTCTGGCAAATCCAAGCACCCTTCTCCATTATGGCTCCCTCTCCCTCTCTCTCTCTCTCACCTCATCTCTCTCGCTTTTTCGGTCTCGCTCTAACCTCAATGAGAAACCGAGAAACTGGCAACTGGCAAACTATATGAATACGACATGCTATATTAAGCCTCAAATAAATGCAGCGCCATAATTAACATATAGCAAAAGTTTTTGCTACAGTCTAAGCCTTAAGCTGCCGAAAACTAGTACAGGCCACGCCTTTGCCGCCCACGCTCCGCCCCCTTTAACCAAATAGCATTCGCGCTGACTGATGAAATATGACTTCACAAAACTAGTTTTTCTCAGTGCAGGGGTTAGGCGGGGGAAAAGCAATTTGAAATTTACAACTTTCGCTTGATTGAGCCAAAAAATGAGGCGAATGAGGCAATGAGGTAAGCCAGAGGTAATTTTACTGGATACCTAGGTATTTGATAGAAACATACACACAGCGTCAATCCGCAATTATGGGCCAACGCATAAGTTTCACATTAATTGCCTACATAAGCCAGGGCATATTAGGCATAAAACGAAACTTTTAAGTTAAATATTATCAATGTCTGCACACTCATTGCAGGAGACATATCCAGGTTTAATAAATAATAAAGGACCGAGATATATCACTATCCTAATCTGACTGTGTGCTCATCAAGATGATGTTTATCTCTGAGAAATATGCTTTGTAACATGTTGGTTCCACAAAAGTTTTCGGCTCAAGTTCGTATTGACTGAAAATAAGAATCACTAAAATCTACACGATTTCTTATAATTTCTGATAGTTAATAATTGTTGAGTCAATAAAAATTGTCAATGAAATTTATTGGTCAAAAGAAAAAAAAAAAAAAAAAAAAAAAAAAAAAAAAAAAAAAAAAAAAAAAAAA